TCAACTTCACCTTTAGGTAGCCTAGACTGATTTTCCCCTCTATGAATCTCAGAGGTCCAGACAGTCTTTCATACCTGAAGCTATGATGTTACTTGACCTTTCCATTTTATCAAAGTAGTTTTAATTAACGAAAGATATAACTAAGGTATCCTGAAATACGTTTTTAAATTGTGGGTTTCTTTTTTCCCAGAAGTAGGCCCATCTGCTGGTGTTCATTCAACTCATCAGAGCGTGTTTATTTCAGCAACTAACAAGCTTTCTGATTCCGTCAGCAAGCAGAAGATGTTTAACAGGGAGGATCCCTCTGCATCTGTCATATCTTGCCCATGAACTTGCACCCCCGAAGGACATGTTTTCATGGCCCAAACAGTGATGGAGATCACTTGGTGAAATAATATATGGCAGCTGTTCCAGGGCAGCTTCTCAACTTTTGCTTGGTTTAACGCATTCTGACAATAAATAGCAAAGGTCTTCTGCTTTTCTGGAGGAAATGGAGCCATTTCTAAATCATCACAACAACTGGACTGGCTCTTCCCGCTGTAGTCACCACTACCACCTGTGCACCTCCGCAGTGGTGAGGCCCTCATCTTAGGCAGCACTGCCCTCCCCAGACCACTGGGAAAGGCGGGCTAGGAGAAAGCACTACGAGGTGAAGTTGAACAAAACACTTGGTCTAGACTCTAAGCTAAAGAATTTGAATCTATTATTGGAGATAGCCAACTTTAAGTTTTCCATCTGAGGAAGAAAATACCAAGGATGCATTGAATATAAGTGTGGTCTCAAGGTCAGCTAGATCCTCATGGTCTTAAAGAACCAAATTGGCCTTTCAGGGTCTTAAGAAAATAAAATTTCCCCTCTCCAAGAGATCTGCAAACTGGTATTATTTACCTGCTTCTGGTCTGGCTCCTCTGTTCACATGTGTGATCTTTTCCATTCCTATGTCACTCATGGAGCAAAGCGTAGTTTCTTGATGGAGTCAATAAGACATCCATGGTCACTGAGCATTGTATATGCTATTAGAAGTTTATGGAATAGTTAGAAGGATGGGAGAGGGGTCACATGACACATTGAGTCACCTTCTAACTTACATTGGTTCTAGAACTCTCCTAGTCATCCTCTTTTAATTTCTTAGTCCCTCTCAAGAATAACTTACTCGTCTCTCTCCTTAGGCATGCAGAGCAGTGTTCCTCTATCCCAGATGCTGCCTGTCTACACAGACATCCCAAGCTGGCTGCTCAGAAAATTTCACATAAGGGCCGCCCTTATTGAGAAATTTTCATAAGGACCATAAAGTGGAAGAGGGGGGAAGAATCCCTTCCCTTTATCTATCTTGTTTTGAGTAACTCTTCTTCATGCTGCCGAGTAATTATAGCCCGCATGCACTGAGTTCTCACTAGATACAGATCCCTATGCTATGAGACATTAAAATTCACAGCCACTCACAGCCAGGTGAAGCTAAAAGCCTTAGCCCAGTCTTTTGGCTATAAAACAACAGAGACAGAATTTGAACGCAGAGCATTTCAAGCAGAAAGTCCAGTGTGTTTTCCCACCTTTGGGCTGGGCTACACAGGCCAGGAAAGCAATTCCCACTCAGGTGCAGCCAAACACTTGGACACCAGGACAGCCTTGAGCTCAACCATAAAGAACATTTCTTGTTAATGACAATCATTTCCAAGGGTCACTGGAAACAGAACACTTGGCTTCCCCTACTTCCTCCTTCCATTTTTTATGGAAAGTCCTGGGCTGTAGGAAGACCCTGATGATCCCTGACAGTGAACCCACATCTGCCCACACATCACCAGGATGAATGTCACCCCTGATCATCTCACAGATTAGGGAACCCAAGTGAAAGGATGACTCCAATTTAGGATTACAAGGACCCTGCAACCTTTTCCAGCCCCCTAGGCATTACGGGAGAGTGACCTGGAAAATCAAAGGCAGAGAAGTGTCCCAAAGTATAGGAGGCTTGTTTGAGGCATGGTAGAATCTATTAGCTAGAGAAATTGGTCTGGAAATCTTATTAAAAGAAACAAATCATTCCACATTCTCTCCAGACTGAAAATATTGGGGGCAATAGACTTTCCCTGATGCCTCAGATCTGTGCACCTCGTGTCAGGATCACAGCTAAACTCTGGCAAGGCTAAATTCAATGCAGGTGATAAAGGCAATTATTTTTTTAATGGGCAGTTCTGATTAATTCCCATTTCTCTGGCCAGCCACAGACTTATCTGCACCAGTCCCTCATTACTGCGGAGGTTGCAAGGCAGAAGAGCCAATGGCAAAGAGAAATGAAGTTCAAATTGTGGATTTGTCATTACTGCACAGCTCAGCAGCGGAAGATTGTCCATCCATAGAAGCCGCTGTGACCAGCCTTCCTCCCCACCCCCACAAACATGCACATCTCCTTTCTCAGTATGCTCGATTAACCCCTGATGGAGATGCTGGGCACATAAGGCACTGTTGCCTTCTGAAGCTGAACCTTGCCCATGTTTGCTACTTAGGAAGGGTGCTAAAAAAGAAAAATCTTGCAAATTTAAATACAGATGGTCCCCGACTTGTAACAGTTCGACCTGAGATTTTTTTTTTCTTTACAGTGCTATGAAAGTTAAATGCATTTAGTACTTCAAATCTTGACTTTGGATCTCTTCCTGGGCTAGCAGGAAGCTGACATTGGGCAGCAGCTGCAAGCTACAGCTCCCAGTTAGACACGGGAAGAGAAACAATAAATACGCTACAGTGTGCAATACTGTACTGGCTTGCTAAGCGATGATATTTAGTGGCTTCGGGGCATTAAATGCATTTTTGATTTATGATATTTTCAATTAATGATGGATGTATGGGGTTGTAACCCTGTTATAACTCAAAGATCCTGTATATAATGGTAATGACATAGTAGCAATGATTATATAATAATGAAATTATGAATGTAGTATAATTAATTACACTTGCAAATAAGTACTTAGTCCATACCTGGTACTGTGCCAAGGGCTTTATTTACATTAATTATCTTCTTTATCTTCAGAATAGCTCTACAGGACAGGAGTTGCCAAACTTTTTCTGTGAAAGGCCAGATAGGAAATATTGTAGGCTTCACAGACCACATGATCTCCATCCAAAGTATTCAATTCTGTGGTTGTAGCGTGAGGTAATCAGAGATAACACCAATAAGTGTAGCTGTCCACCAATAAAATTGTACTTAAGGAACTTCCTTTACTGTGGTCTCTAGACTATAGTATACTGACTACATACACTCACATCTCCGGCTAGCAAGGTGAATGGTGTTATCCCTAATCTTAGTGTTGGGTTTCTACACTTAAATGGGAGGTATGTGTTTCCCTCTCCTACCTCCCCCTCCTCTATACTCTTCCCTTCAATTCTAGTTCTGAAGGAAGGAGAAAATAAAAGATATTTTGGTACGTGACTTCCTAAAGTGAGTTGTTTGTCTCCACCCATGAAGGAAGGGAAAGATCATCCCCTTCCTTGAAAATCCTCCACCAGAGGAGGCCGCCACACAGCCATGGGTCACCTGTGTCAGTCTAGCTCCTTGACTGCAAGCTGAGCACTGGTGAGGACAGATGTCACTGATGACAGCTTCCATCTCCAACTGCTCTCAGAAACCTTGGTGTATCCTTATGAGTCCTGGCTGCGTATTCTGGGCAGTGCCAATTTCCTTTCTATCACATGGCTCCTGTCAGGGTGGCTCCAGCAAGCCCAAAGCCCCAGTCTTGCTCTCTTCTATGGCCCAAGTCTTGAGTCTATAGACCTGGGCAAAGTCCATCTCTATGCCCTTTGGGAACCGGGAATTTGAAAGAGCAGGGCTTGCCCCTTGGCAGCCACGTACCCTGTCACTTACCCCAATGTTCTTTCCCCAAGGAAAGCTATCTAGCAGCTCAGCAGATACAGGGGAATGGGGGATCCATGTCTCTTTTTGATGACATCTATAAGCTTAAAGAACAATTAATTATCTAAGACTCTGACCTTCTCAGTGTCTACTCTACTGGTATTTGGGGCCAAATAACACCCAGTGGGGAGCTCTCATATGCACTGTGGGATATTTAGCAACATCCTGGCCTCTACTCACTAACTGTACACAACAACCCCTAAGTTTGCTGATCAAAAGTGTCTAGGACAAGCTGGGTGTGGTGGCACACACCTGTAATCTGAGCACTTGGGAGGCTGAGGCAGGAAGATTGCCATGAGTTCAAGGCCAACTTAGGCTTCATAGTGAGTTCAAGGCCAGCCTGAACCTCATAGCAAGACCTTGTCTCAAAACAACAACAACAATAAAAATGTCCAGGACATTGGCAGCTCTTTCCCGGGAGTTGGGGTGAAACAGCCTCTGTCTTAGAATGAAGTACAGCTATCACCTATTCCTTTTAGCTGGAGGTTCCAATTTCCAATTCCAGAAAAGTTTGGAATGATCACCAGCAGGATATCTCAGTACCAGGTGTCTTTTCTCATGGTGCAAGGGAAGCACAATTATCCCCAATTTACATGAGAGAAAGCTGAGGTCTGAGTCATCCAACTAATAAGCAAGAGAGCCTAGATTTGGACCCAAGACTATCAGAATCCAAAGCCTATGTATTTGTTTAATAAAACAAACGATGTGTAAAACTCCTGAAATGGGAAAAAGTTTGCCATGATTTCCCTGATGGAAAAAGAAAACCGGGTTGCACCTGCCATTCCCTTGGAGTATTCTATCTAATCCTGATAGCAGCATTTGGAGATAGTTACCACTATCTCCATTTTGTAGATGAGGAAACTGAGGTCTACCAAGGATAACAAATGGTTTGAGATCAGTAAAACAAAGATATTTAAGAATAGTTTCTCGGTTCAGAGCCTTGACATTTCTACACCAAAAATGTGGGCATTTGGTCCCCCATGGGGTTGTTCTTTCTGGCCAATGTGCCCTGTCAGCAGTAAGAAAGCTTTGGTGATAAAGGACACTGACGTATTCCCTCTCCCCTGCTTTGTCTTTGGCTCCCTTTCTCTTGCCCCAGCTCTGCATGCAGTACTGGCCTGAGAAGACGTCTGGGTGCTACGGGCCCATCCAGGTGGAGTTCGTCTCAGCAGACATCGATGAGGACATCATCCACAGAATATTCCGCATCTGCAACATGGCTCGGGTAAGTCTGCAGCCTTCTTTGTGAAGCAGATGGAAGCTCCTGGGAGAGGAGCCTGCTGAGCCAGCCAAGTCTGTGTGACACTCTGCTAGTAATCTCTTCCTTGGGGAAGTGATGCCTTTGCTGATTCCGGCTCCAGACCCAGCAATGCTCCAATATGGAGAGATGCAAAGAGAGACATCCAGCCTGCCATCTGCCTATCTCCTGACACACTTGCTCCCATGTAGACCAAACTTCCCAAGAAGTTCTGCCACAACATTTTGGCACCAGTTGGTACAACCTTTGGCTGATCCTGTAAGGCTTGGGCTGGATCCTGCCCATATCAAGATGCACAATAATGAATTGTTTTAATGAGGATATATATTCACTGTTGGAATGTAGGAGAATTAGGCTAGAGGGAACAGAATAATAATCTATGAAATGATGGCCACTACTGATCTCTACTGGGAGCCCAGGGTGAATGGAGTTCAGTCCCTACTCTGAGATATATTTTAACGTATGAACCTCAGGGAAATAGAACTCTGCTGAGTAGAATCAGGGAAATACCCTAAAGAAAAAGTTACCAAAATTTGGCTTTGATGACTCAGGAGGAGTTTTCCAGTTAGAGAGAAGAGAATCCGTGTACACAAAGATGTAGTGTTAGGTAGGAGGGTTGTCTGTGGCACTTTCGTGGTACCACGACTTACAGCCCAGTTAGTCTGTCTTGCAGTAGGCAGCAACCCTGAGGGTATCTGGATGACTTGCATCCCTAACATAGTAATCTTAACAACAACTTTGTTCTCAGCCCCAGGATGGATATCGTATAGTCCAGCACCTCCAGTACATTGGCTGGCCTGCCTACCGGGACACACCCCCCTCCAAACGCTCTCTTCTTAAAGTGGTCCGAAGGCTGGAGAAGTGGCAGGAGCAGTATGATGGAAGGGAGGGACGCACTGTGGTCCACTGCCTGTGAGTATTATGGAAATGTCTCCAGACCAATGGGATAATGAACGAAAGAGCATATTTAAGGATGTTACTGGCCACATACCCCAATCTTAGGCATGTTAAGCTATACCACATTTTAACCTTCATAAATACCGACACTAGATATATTCAACGGAATATAGTCCTTCAATAAGTTGAGGTCTCTAGCTGTGGTGAACCGTTTTTATATGGCATACTATTATTGGTGCAAAACATGGAGGAAGCAGACCATTCCCCCAGTGCTTCAAAACTGGAGGTATGCCCCACTCTCCAGAAGGAAGCGTGATGTATCCTGCTACTCACAAACAAGCTCAGAACATGGTGGGACTTCTAACCAGAACCTCCTGTATTATTTTCTGGAAAAAAAAAAAAGCATTAAGTTAGCTTAATGGAAATTCAATATTTTAAATGAATCACCTCATTCCATCTGCCAGGTAGATATTATCATATTGTAGAGAGGTAACAAGTGCATACAGGGTCAGGGATCAGCAAGTTGAGAGAGGAGCTGTGATTTGTGGTCCCTGAGCTCTAAGATAATGTACCACACACTGACTGATGTTGCCTCTGAGTAAACTACAGACAGGCTCCTGTGACATGTGCTGTGGGCTTAGTGGGGACACAGAAAGCATGAAAGCAAGATACTACTCTGAAGGGCTGTGACAAGGCCATAGTGCCTTACAATTAGTGTTTATGTGTCCATTACTGATATGAACTGGAGCTTTTACTTCCGTCCTAGAATCAGCCTAGCACAGTCAAATGGACCCCAATGTCGTTATGCTCAGTGAAAGTCAGAACCTTAGAGGCCTGCAGTTGACAAGCTGCACAACATTAGGAAAATCACTTATTTTGTGACCCTCAATTTTATCATCTTTCCACTGGGTATGTAGAATTAGATCATCGTCAGATCCAAAAGGAAGTGGAGTGCCTTGGTAAGAAACAGAAAGTACAAACAACGTGTCTGTCAACAGAGAGACCCCACACACACAGTGTCACAGCTGTGTTATGCAAATGCTATAAAGGAAATTACTTAAAAGAGCAAGTGTCAGAGTCTATCTTAAGAGTATAAACAGGACAGAGAGAAGGATTCTACAAAGGTGTTAGACCCATAGCAAATCTGCAGCCTTAACAGTTTTGTGTGGAATGTCTGATTCACAAGTACTTTGTTTCTTAGAATTTAAATGACTTGGGGACAAGTGACCGAGATGCCCCTGCCTTTGAAAAATGTTAAGTTACAGGAAATTTGAACCCAAGCCTTCCCTTTTTCAAATCATTTCTGGTGCTAATAGAGGCATTACTCATATCCCACTGATCTCAAAATTGAGTCTTTTCAAAAGCAGCTAATGGTTCCATTTTTTTCAAATAGGCAGTGCACATACATGCCAGAAAAGCCAGAGAGCTTGAAGGAGGTTAAACACACCATGCACACTCAGAGCTTAAGAGGTACCACTGTAACAAAACCCTTCCCAAAAGATACAGATCTCCAAGTGGAGTCCAGGAAGGTGGAGTATAGTGTGCTATGTGCATGTCAGGCTGGTGAGTGACATCTGCCATGACAAGCTGACTCCGCCCATATCCCAGAACCTGGCAGCTGGATCCCAGCCAACTAATCTGGCTCTCTCCAGCTCCCTCCCACACATTCAAATGGCTCCAAGAGTAGCACAAGGCCACCAGGACCACCAGGCCCTTCGACTTTTGCATCCTCTCACCTGGTCTTCTTGGGCTCTGCTGTTCTTGCTTCAGAAAACACTGATCCTTTTTTTTCCACTAGGAATTCTTCCTACTCTCTCATTTTTAGCCTGCTCTTTTTTGCAGAAGTACCTTTTTATCTATACCTGCCCTAGCCAAGGTGACTAGCAGTTTGAACTGAAGGGAAGCACAGGAGTGTCATCTTCTAACAGGAATCTGTATCCCTGGGGGTCCTGAGAATCATAACAGCCACTGAAATGGAGCCACCAGTCAGTGAAGGGAGGACAGCTATCTGCACCTGAAACATCTGGTTGATGGGTGTCCTGTAGATAAAACATCTGAGAGACCAACTGAGTGCCTTAGTTTCTATCCAGATGTTCTTTAGATACAGCCTATTACAGGGAATCATTGGCTACTCTTGGCAAGATGCCCAGGAGTTTAGAATCAGGTAGATTCCTAAAGGAACTTTCTATAAGGAGTTTGAGGGGTGTTTCCATCAAGATGATTTATAGAGCTTCAGAGAGAAGGAATAACAGAAAGATGGCCTTGCCAAGAACAGTATGCATATCCTCAAGATCAGTAGGATCTGGCTTGACTGTACATGTAGAGATCTGGTATTTCAGGGTACAACTCCCCAGGCCCACAGGCCTGAACCTGGGCTGGCTGGTACTGGGCTGCTCCTAAAGGATGATGGGAAAAAACAGTAGGAAAATCACCTAGAGCCTCCTATTGTCTTCATTCGATATGGAGGCAGAACCAGAGTATCCTTTCAGAAAAGATGCAGATACCCCAGGTCCAAAGACAATTCATCATGTCATAGAGGTTTCAGTAGGTGTCCCAAGGGTGACTGTCACATGCGCATAGAACCAAGGAAACATAAGATAATCCAACCCTCACAGGTCCTCTAGTCCAGTGCCTTCATTATATGAATGAGAAGTTGGAGCTCAGACAAAGGAAGCACCTTGTCTAAGATCAAAGAAGCTCCAAGGCCCAAATGAAATTCAAACCAAAACTCACGACTCAGGCTAAAGCTTTCACCACTGCCTTACTTTGCACTTGCCAAGGCAGCCACTCCTCACTACTACAGTGTCACTGTAGCATCACCAGGTGTCAGGAATATGGCTGACCTCTTCTCTCTGCGTTTAGAAATGGGGGAGGCCGCAGTGGAACCTTCTGTGCCATCTGCAGCGTGTGTGAGATGATCCAGCAGCAAAACATCATTGATGTGTTCCACATTGTGAAAACGCTGCGGAATAACAAATCAAACATGGTGGAGACCCTGGTGAGTGTCCCAAACTCTGTCCTTCAACTGCCAGGGACTCACTGTAGTTCCTTGGACTAAAGAAAATGACACCAACTGGTAAAATGCTTCAACAGCTGAACGCTTACTGAGTACCTACGCTCTCTGTCCCGTGCATACACTGTTGTCTGCCCATTTCTCCCCCTTGCAGTCCCGCCGATCTCTCTCTCCTTCAGAGAAATCCAAGTATTAATCCCAGGACACCTATTTTATTTGACTTTCTGCCCATTCCCTAGGAAAATGTCACTAACTTGGGCTTAAGGGAAGAAATTCTGGATTAGAAGAGTAAGAATTATGGTTTCAATTCAGTCCGTACCTGTTCTAATTCATTTATGCTAATTTTTGCAGTATGAAGCATTGAGCAAGGGCACTGTAGAAAAAGGATAGTACAGGAAGTGGGAAGGCTGAGCCCAAGATGATGGCACCTTGTGCAATGATGGGAACAGACCCGACATTAAGAACTTGAATATAAGTCTTTACACCCACGCAAAGTGTGATCTCACTCCAAATGAGATCCTACTCAGAATGTGGCCCTCGGGAAACATCCTCAGGAGAGTTTGTTAAAAGTGCAGGATCTTGGGCCCCTCCCCAGATTTACTGAATTAGAGTTTGCATTTTTAACAGGTATTCCTGGGTTTTTTGGTAGCAGGTTTTCATTCAAGAAGTACTGTTGTACAAAATTGTAAAACTAAAGGAAATTATCCCAATTGGGTATTCAAGATATCTGGGGTAGAAATTGGCCTCAAGCAGAACACTGAAGGATATCCACATATGGATAATTTCCTGTTGACTTTTAGTATGGATGTAGATAAAATTTTCTCCCAAGTCTGTATCTCGAATCTAATGTGTCTTCCCTTTCCTTTCTGTCCCTCTTCTCTGCTCTTCTGTCTTTCTCAGGAACAGTATAAATTTGTATATGAGGTGGCACTGGAATATTTAAACTCCTTTTAGCCCAGTGGGATGGAGAAACCTGCCAGAGTGCAGAGGCTGCTACAGCAAAGCCTCTTTTTCTCTGAATGGCAGTGACTGGGCCCGGGAACTCAGAGGTGGCACCCCTGCCTAACTCCAGAAGGAAGACTGGTGGCTCTATGCTCTGCGGTGGGCTCTGCGCCTTCTGAGGGGCCTCCTGCAGCTGTGGGAGAGGCCACACTCACAAGCCCAGGATCCCTTCCACACTTGACCAGCCACAACCTTGGGCCCAAGCAGAAGGGCACCCACAAACAAGGCCTAGGACTCGCGGTTCCCAGACCTCCTGCTTTTTTTTCTGAGTTTGTGCATTTCATGGCAAGCCAGCTGTGCAGGTGCTGGGAGTGGGAGGCTCGCCAGCACCTCTTTTTCCCTCCCTCTCTTAGGAGTGTTGAGAATGTGAAGTCTACTCCTCCATGCAGTTGTTATGGAAAAGAATGGGAATTTGGAAGTCACTGCTCTGATGCCCCCTGCAATCTCCTTCAGAGACCTCTGAAACCAGACACCTGCTCTTCTGGATCAGGGCGACCTCAGAATGAACCCTAGACAAAAGCAGAGGCTCCTCTTCAACCTCACACCTAATCTGCATGGGGCTTGGCCCGCTCGCATTCTGTACCCCTTTCCCAGCCCAGGCCTTGACTGTCTGTCATTCACTGACTAGCCAGCTCTGCCCATAGCACAATTCCATAAAAGATTTTCTTTCCTTTTCTGTGGTCTCTGGAAGGGGCTGGAACTGTGGGGAATGTTGCTGCTCCTCCTTTCCTTTGTAAAAGGGACCAGCATGGTGCAGGGCTCTGGCTGTCTTGTACAATGTAACCCCTGTGTCTCCTGGGTGGTAGCTTCCTCTGGGAGGGATGAAGAAAATAAGACTTGATTGTTTTCCCAAGTGTATGTGAAAAGAAACTTGTCTTTTGAGGGTGTAAAATCTTAGTCTCTTATGTCAGAAAGGTAAGGTGAGAGTTTGAGTGTGTAGTTATGAGACAAATCTTTTGAGCCTGTTATATTATCTGGTTCTGTCCTTGAAAGGTTCCCACCTGGGAGAATACAGCCATTGAGCAAGGGAGAAATGGGCTAGTCAGAAAATGGTCTCTGGTTTCTGGGACATAGACAGCACCAGCTTTGAGCATAATTTGGATCTCCAAATTTGAACTTCTTCCTAGAGAAATCTAGCCTTCCTCTTGCAAAAGGCCATTGCAGATCTGGTCATGCTTTGGTTTAAAATATCTCAAAGAGATTAGGCCTGGGACTGTGGGTCTTACCCAAGGTATGAGTGAGTCAAGGAAAGGGAGCCAGCATCTGCTAAGTGTCTCCTATATGCCAGGCACCATGCTTGACACCTTCCATATGACGTCTCACATAGTCTCACTAGCCCCAGCAGCGAGCTCTTATCATCTCCATTTTGCATTTGTGGAAACTGAGGAATCTTTCTCAATGATGGAATTCTGGGCCCCAAAAAGGCAGACAAAGATGACAGAACTTTTCTGAACTGTTTTCTTTATACTTTCTCAGTCAAGCAATTATTTAATGGAAGAAAATAAGGCTAGGAGTTTCTGAACAGAGAACTTCATGAATGGAAATTTAGTTTTCTTTCTCCAGTTCTTCTGCAAAGCCCAAAATCTCGGATATATTTTAGTAACTCATTCCCTGTTACCCTGGAAAGCTAGTTTCATCTAATTTCTTCTTCCTGTGAAAAACAATTCTCCTACTCCCTCAGGCTATGAGGGAGCCAGCCAGGGACACTCTCTACCTTGGTCTCTAGCCAGTGGTTAGGTACAATATCTGACAGATTCAGGTGTCCTTAGATCTAAGAAGCGCCATCTTGCAGGCTGGTCTAACCCTGAAAAAGGTATGAGGAGCACAAAATTCAATAAGGCACAGTTCGTGCCCCTAAAGGCTCACTGTGTACTGGAGAAATTGAACCACAATGCAATAGCAGTGCAGTGCATGAGTGTTTCATGGACCTACATACTTGAGAGCCTCACTCTGCCTAGGGCTCCCTGAAGGAAGTAGCATTCATTTTCCATCTAGGTCTCATCAGGTATGAAAAGGAAGAAAAGGAAATTCAAGGCAATGGGTCAGTATGTGCAATTGCAAACAGGCATGAAAAGGCATCAGGAAGGGCAGAAGATGGGAGGTCAGCCCAGCAGGAGCATAGCAGCGCAGGAGGAAAGGCAGGAAGTAAGCTAGGGTCAGGAAGACAGATGCCCCACAGAGAGGGCAGATGTTGTCCTGTGGTCAACAAGAAGCCAGCAAAGCTTCACAGTGATGTGATCACCCCAGTGCTAAAGAGGCCAGTGGGGCTGCCTCTTTTCCTTTAATCAGACACTGTGAAAACCTTCCCTTAAGCGTGTTATTTTTTAATATTGTATCTATTTGTCTTTCTGCTCATTATTTTGTGGCTGGGACAAAATAGGCAGTGGATCATGAGATGTTGTTCCTGTAAGAGACCCAGGATCTCTGCTTTACCACAGAGCGGGGTCAGCAAGCCAGGCCTCCAAGCTCACTAAGATGGGACATGAAAGCAGCCCGAGAAAGCTGCCTCCGTTGGCATAGGCCCTGGAGCTGTCTAGATGTCCAGGGACACCGGACTTGATCAAGGAAGGGCTGTCAGTTTGGAAGTTCAAAAGGAAATCTCAAAGCAAAGGCAGGCAAAGGACCCGCAGGACTAACTCACTCTTCTCCTTTGATGGGCCTCATCCCAGGGGTATTTGAGCAGGTCCCCAGGGCCCAACCCCCACTGATCCTGCTGGCTTCCTTTGGCTCCAGCCTACTGCCCCAACTGGCCTTCCCAGCCTGAAGGACTCTGCAGCATGGTATATCAGCCTGTTGTCTCTTATTTCCTGAGATCTTGGCTCATCCAGACAGGCGAATACAGGGCTATTTAGCACAATCCCTAGGATTTATTCTGCTCATGAAAGGATGAAATAGATGCCACCTAAAAATGAGAGGGGACTTTATCATTTCAAATGGTAGAAATTTAAGGGTGGCTGCAAGAAAAAGGAAACATAAAAATTCAGGCCATCGTGGGTTAACCCAACAAGGCCAGCTTGTTCCCTCATTTTGTCATGATTCAACCACTCTCCAAAGAAGGCAGAGGAGTGATGTGGTCTTAGGGTAGTGTACACAAAAGGAACTGAGGCTCATGGATAGAGGTGACTCCTGTAGGATCCCACAGGAAGGCTCTAAGGCAGGGCTTGGATGAGATCAGGTAACGGTGCCCAGAATTTGGACTTGATAACTTGCCCAGGAAATCTCCTAAACAAGTACCACATCTCCTCCCCTCACCTTAGTAATAAGGTAGGCTCACCCTTCTATGAGCAGAGGAAACTAGTATTAATGCTCTCCACAACAGAAGTACACTCATCTACAAGGTGCCAAAGAGTGCCCTCCCTTAGCAAAGATCTTCCCGTGGGACCCCATCTGGAGGAGATGCAAGGAATTAACAAGAAGCCAGAAACCCTCCCCACCTCGTGTGTGTCTATGGCCTAGATAGATTCAGAATATATCTCAGCTTCATGACAACATTGTGTCTTTTCTCTCAGCTGGTGTGAAGATCCTGAGCCAGCCAGGGACCTCTAGGCCTCTAGACAGCCACAGGAAACCTCCCTTTATGGGAAGAAAGACACCAGCTTGCTTCAGGGTGTAGGCCTCCTCTGCGCATGTGACCCGAGAATTGCCCACCAGATATCAACCGTCACATGGAAGTAGCTGACCTTGAGCTGGGGACTGTAATATATGGGCTTATTTCTTCCAATATTCCTAAGAAGAGTACTTGTGATTACCATATCCCCACTTTACTGAGGAAACAGAGTCTCCCAGAGGGAAATCACTTGCTCACAGCTCCGTTTCCAGTAAATGAGCAAGCCAGAAATTAAACTATTTTTTTCGGACCAAAAGACAATATTTTTCCACCATCGTGTCTCAGATTTTCCCATTGGGGTTACTCATAACAGCAAAGACTGGAGTGGAACAAGTAACTCTGGATTTTGGTGAGCCCAGCAAAGCCAATGGTAAGTATAACACTCCCTTATAGTCTCATATTTTAATAATTCATGCGACATTTGCATTCCACTTCCTAACTTAAACTGATAAGTTTCAACATGACTCTATAAATACTTTTTAAAAATGTACCCTATGTAGTTTTGATCTGTTCAGCCCACTTGTATGGACCTTAGAGAATAACATCCCAGTCTATGACATAATAACAGACCTGCTACATCCCCACTAAGGCTAATTCCAGATTCAGGATCAAAACCACCTGGCCTTCCTGTAGGCCGATCCTTTGGTGTGGGAGTACCCTGCCCTCACTATTCCCAGGTTAAGTTTAACTAAGGTCTCTTCTGGTTGGGTGCTGAAAGGAACACTTTAGCAGAGTAGAATGATGAGGACTTGCCCATCTGGCATGGTGAGGGGGTGGTATCACAAAGCCCTTAAAACAAAAGGGAAGCTGGATCCACTGTCTAGGTGGAGCCCCTTATTTGCTAATGTGGGCAACTCTGTGAACACATTTTGCATGAGGGACTGGGAGGCCTACAAAGCCTCTCAAGTTACCTTAATATACATTCACTGTGTTCCTACAACATGCAGTATTCCGCAGGAACACTATCAGGAAGCACTAATGATTACGGTACAGTGCATCCCTTGGTGAGGGATAGACTGATGGCAGAAAGAGATCAGTCTTTGGTATGAACCCTTGCCTTGCCATTTCTTGGCTATAGAATGGTGTGCCAAACAACTCATGGAAAAATAAGCATGCAAAGGGAAATCTCAGCCAGGTTATAAGGAATAGATTTGGGGGTCATTACACAAGAAAATAGGAAGGCAAGGCCAGGAAATTAGAAGCCAATGAATACTCAGAGTCAAGGATGCTTATGGACTATTTGATCACTTCTCTGATATGGCAGGGGAAGAAATGGGGCAAACATACAGCTTTTTGGGGGAAAAATCTCAGTGAAAAGTGATCATCGTTTTCACTCTGACCAGTCATGCTTATCTTCCATTTCTGGTCATATTTATATTCCTTACCAGAATCCATGTCTCCACCTCTCTGGTGTGAGCCCTATAGAGTATACGGAAGTGTCAACCTAGCAAGACTTCTGCACACAACAGAAGTGAAGCCCAGGTAGGAATATCCTGGCACCTATCATGTCATCTCTGGAGCAATGACTGCCAGCCCAGATTCAGAAACACTGAAAGAAATGATCATTCCCTCAGACCTCACTGCCTAAGGACAGAATCGAAGAAAGCTACCTTTCCTTAGTCTGCACCTGGCCACTCCTGGGCTGGTCAGAAAAGCCATCAGCAACAAGCTGAATCAGGGCTTTCTGTGGAAGACGTAGGTGAACTCAAGGGTAAGCATAAGCAGGATGTTGATCCTAAGCCAAAGTCAATAGACTGCACTGGGCCAAAATTTGCAGGGACAAGTTGCCAAACAAAGCTGAAGAGTATGTCACAGTATAGACCATGGATGGTCATATCAGCTCAAAGCCTTGATTTCCTGACTTACCTTTCCCCTCACAAAACCAACATCAGTCCCTTTTCAGCTTTTGACCAGCTCCAAATCACAGTCAAGTACAGCAGAGAAATAAGAAAAGTAAATCCGACTAGAGACAAACACCTGAGATTCAATCTTGTTTGTGTACTCCCATTCAAAGCCTCCCTCTCGGGGGTTTTCCTTGCATATGTATCTAGGAATTATAAAATACAGAGTTTTGGCTTCACCTACCAGGATTCTGCCTCTGAGGTCATATACTGTCTGAGCAGCAAGAAGGGAGGTCCATGTAGACAGTCAGCTCCGATTTCCTCTGACACATATTTCAGGCTCATAAATATGACCCCCAGAAGTACAGATCAGATATCTTTGCCATATCTGTGCACATAAACAGTCTTAGTTTCTTGGTAACCAAGGGCAGACTTTTGCATGAAACTGACTATTCAACTGTCTTGGAGAAATCAAAACCATCTCTTTCATACTTCTTGCCCCACTGCAGAAGAGATAGAAAAATATATCAAAGAGAACATATTCACTTATGAGGTCCACCCCTGAATGTTAGGTCTCCAAGAGGAGAAATCAGCATTCACAGTAGTAACCCTCCAAGTCTGGTGGGCGATCTATCTAAGGGTTTGTTGGTGGTTCACTAGAGATACAGGAAGTGTCAGGATGAAACAGGATCTATTGGAAAAAGCTTTGAGGGCTGAATAACCATGAGGCTTCCGTATGTATCTGAGGTCTGCTCTGGGTGGTAGGATATAGACTTTAGCTCTTGACTGGAATGCACAAAAAAAGAAAAGGCTAGGGGCTTTGGAGCATTGGGTAAAAAAGTATGAGTATAAAAGCCTGGAGCTCAGGGTAGTTCATGGTACTTTGGTGAGCAGAACTCTTGGGTTTGGGGGAGGAAGAGACAGAAGGAATAAACTGATAAAATTGCTAAATTGAATCTTGTACAAGTATTTCAGTGCCTTTGGGTTTGTGAATAAAAACTGGTAGGCCTCATATGATGGTCTGACAAACTCTCCTAGCCCACCGTACTTTACTTCCTCCCATGGAAGATTAATGGCATATGGTTTTCCTTGGGTCAGTGCCCGCAGAGTTTTCTGAAGGCTTGGTGGGGAAGGTGCACAACACAGTGTCATTCTAAGTAAAATCAGGCTTCTGAGGGTCAGGGAGAATACTAGCACCCATATCTTCTCTAGGACAGCAGATTACTGGATAAAGTCAAGCACAATTTGCTAGTCCTGAGCTATTCCTGTGAATGGAACCAGTAACAATGGGGGAAACTTCAGAGCTGGGAGGAAGAACTTGCTGACTGCCAGAGAGGATGAGCTACCAATTCAGCAGCTGTCTGCCAGAGCCCAGGTGTCACTTTCAAGGGCAGAACAAGCGTTGTTGAAATGGCTTTTTGGTCATTTCCACATGAGGTGGGGGATATCCTGCAGATCTGGGATCATGTTTAAACTCATTTATACCTGCAGTCTAGTCAAGCTTTACTTGTGTAGGTCGAAGCTTCCTGCTCTCCCATCTGAGCCTGCTTAACACACTGGCCAAGGTGCTACTCTGGCCTCAAATCCTGGGCTCATCCAAGCTTGGTTATCACCAAACACTAAACTAGAAAAAACAGCTGCTTGCCATAGACCTGATGCCCTCTGAGATCTCTGATAAGAACCCACTGGCCAACAGGGCCACCAGAAATAGCCAGACCAAATAAAGTTGAAGCAGGACCCAGAGCGGGGCTTTACTTACCATGTTCATTACATCCAGCAGGTAATTCTACCCAGTTCCCCACTCAAGGCCTGTTGGCACAGATTTCAAAAGCACAGCGACCCAGTGGACACAAGATTTTAAAAATTCCTAGTGCATGTATTTCATCACTAGGGGGGAATCTTGGGTTTCCTCAGGTTAACTCAAGGTAACCCATACTGGTAATCAGACTCAAAAGCACTATTTTATCTTCTCTTTTCATTCTGTAGCCTAGTGGATAGATCAATCAAAGACAGAGTTGGGACCTCTACCATTGCTTTGGTCACTGGTCACCCTCATAGCTGTCTAACAGGTATCACACGGCCTCTACTCATCTCCATGGAGGCTGACATTTTCATACCGATGGGGCATATGATATTGCATGAGACCAAAGTCTCCACATTATTTGCAGCCTCCTCCACAAATCCCAATGGCCTGCACTTGTACAGTTTGGGTGTTTGATAGATAAAGCACGTATGAGAAGAGAAAACAAAATAAATCAACTTTTAAAAGGAGCCAGCACTGTGCTGTCAATGTTCTTTTTTTTTTTTTTTTTTTCCTTTTTCTTTCCAATTCTAGCTTAAAAAAAGCAGAAGGTAAATAATGTCAGGTCAATGAATATCAGATATATTTTTGACTGTACATTACAGTGAAGTGTAATCTTTTTACACCTGCAAGTCCATCTTATTTATTCTTGTAAATGTTCCCTGACAATGTTTGTAATATGGCTGTGTTAAAAATCTATACAATAAAGCTGTGACCCTGAGATCCATGTTTCCTAAGATATTTGTACTGGTGTCTTCCTGAGGTTGGGTGGGTATGAGATGGGAACAAATTGTAGAAGGAAAAAAAAATCCTATAGTCAACTAATTTTCTTCATATGTATGTTTATTTAATTTTTACAGCTACAACACAGGAAACACATATTATCCCCTCTTAGCAAATGAAAAAGTCAAGGGTCAGTAAGATCAAGAGATTTCCCATGAGTATACACTGAGCTGACAGAAAGGATTGGGTATAATGCAGTGTTTCTGGAGCATAATCTACAGAGCACTGGCATTAGATCACAGGGACATTTATTAAGCACACAGTTTTAAGCTCTTACAACATCACAAGGTCAAGGTCTGCACAAGCTACCCAGATGTATCAGCTAGCTATTGCTGCACAAGAAATCACCCCAAAACACAGTGACTTGAAACAACAGACTTTTATAATAGCTGGGACTCAACTTCAGAAGGTAGAGTTCACTAATCTCAGCTGGGATCAATAATGATTTGGCCAATGGCTTTATTCTAGGCCTCATGCATTAGCTGGTGCACCCCACTTCATGTATGTCTGATCTTGCATCAGTGAGACCAACAAACTGGCCCAGATGTACACTTCTTCTGGTGATGGCAGGAGCATAAAAGAAAAAACCCAGTTGCAAAGTATTTTGTGATCCTTTGCTTAAATCATATCAGTAACATCCCACTAGACAAGGACTACTCAGAATCAAGGGATATGGATTCCGCCTCTTGAAATAGACCTCTCTTCTCAATTTTCCAGGGAATGCTGAGATTAAACACCAAATTATTAATGTTTGATGCAGCCTTTAACACTCCAATATCAAGTGTGATGTTCAGGTTGCCTACACTGTTGCACCTGGGAAAGATTTAAACATGCCAAGCCTAATTCAGTAGGCCCAGGATGGCAGCCAGGAGTCTGTATACTTAACAAGTATCCCAGATGATTGCACTACAGGCTAAAGTTGGGTAAGCGCTGTTTAAAATGCTGTAGCTGTTAGAGAGGGACAGAAAGGAGTTCAAGAGGAAAAGGACAAGCCAGTTTTTAAGCTAGGGTAAGGCTGTCAATTTCTGAGTTGGATGCCTATGTTCTCTATTGTCTAGAAAGTCAGAATAAACAATTAGAATGAACTCCTTGGAGTTTACTGTTCCCACGTTCTTTATACATGTCCAGATATAAGCATAAGCTGCAGGGCTCAGGTTCAGGGTCCACTTTGTTTTCTTTCACCCTTGGGAACTTGGCAGGGTTCCTATGCCTGATGAATCTAGGTATAGTGTCCAACAATCCCCCAAGACACAGAACCTGGAGAGTAAGTGCTTCCCTGTGTGGGTCTTAAGTGGAGAACCTGGTGTCTAGCCAACTAGTTATCCTTGCCACTTTGTCCTTGGTCACATTAACCTTACTTATTCTGCCTGATATAATTATTCTTTAGCCATAACTGTAATTGATGATTCTGAGAAAAGAAAATTAGAAAGAAAGAAAAAAATCTTACATAATCTCTTTAACAAAAATAATGTGGGGAATCATATCCCCCCAAATAGAAATACTTTTTAAAGCAAAATTATAAAAGTAGCATATACTCACTTAACAGGACTCAATAAAAATATTTTGAAGGATAAAGTGAAAGTTCCCAACTAAAAGTACTTTTTAATATTTTATGTCATCCAGATCTTTCTATACATATATAAATATATATACATTTTCTACATAAATGGTAACAAACTAGATAGAAGATGATAGATTAGCTAGATAGAGTAGATAGATAGATGATAAATAGATATAGATAAGTAGATGATAGATAATAGATAGATGATAGTTATTTAGAGACATGTGTCCTTTCACTTAACAATGTACTGTGGTGATATTTCTAAGGACTTTGCTTAAGTAAATGTCATTTATCTTCCCTGACACCCTCCCAGTACTACTGAACCTGAGACTAAGGGACTTTGAGTCCATCAAGAAATACACGTTCCCACAGCAAGGCTAAGGAAGCTGTCCTAGCTTTGGGGCCATCATTAACAGCGAGGGACACCCCATTCTGTGTGCTCCAGCTCTGAAGAGAGGCATAGTTTCCTTTGTACATCTATTGGCTGCCCAAGTGGGTCATAGCCAAGCCTGCCTGTGTAGCTGAACCTTCAGTCTTGGCTTCCTCTAATCTAGGAACAGTTTGATTAGACTGCTCTGTAGGTCTGGTTTGGCTTAAGATCTTCCCCTAATTCCCTAGACCACTTAGAAGCCCTCAGACACATGGATCTTTGCCAGGAGTTCACCAACCTGCCATGCAAGAGAAAAGAAAAGAGAGTTTATTTCTTTTTGTCAGTGTTTGTGTGTGTTAAAAAAGGGTCCAGAGAAAAAAACAAAGTCAGGAAATAGAAGAAGAAATCCACTGTGGCTAATTTTAGAAAAGTGTTTGAGCACTTAATCTTTAGCAAAAGTAGCTATTCTCCTCCAAGCCCTGGCCTAGGTGCTTTTCTCTTGAAATTTAGCAAAGGAACTGAGCCTGCAATCTCCATTGACATGTGGTAGAGAACATGGAACCTACAGATAGATGGCACCCACAAACGGAACAACTGGAAGTGTGAGATGAACTATGAGATGATAACCCCCTGGAAGTATGATAACCCCCTGGTAGTATGAGATGATAACCCTCTGGAAGTCAGTAGAAATGAGAAGGTTTCAGTTTTCACAGTTCATAGAACGGGCATTGAAATAACATTTATTGATTCAAGGACATTTGGAGTCTATGGATGAATAGACGGAAAACATGAAGAAAACTATAGATGCACAGGGAAAATAAATTGAATATATAAATGCCTTAAAATTGTATCAAAATACAGTGATACTCTCCTATTATAAGAAACATGAGTAAATTTTATTTATAAATTTCTAGTTCCTCAATTTTATATTACTTTTATACATAGAAAAGCCAACTACCTAAAAAGATAAAAATATCGGCACGTAAGAAAATGAGGGCAGGACAGATAAGATAATACCATGGACAGGATCAATCCCAAAAATCTACCATAGATCAAGAGGCTCAAAAACTTAATATTTCCACCACCTAAAACAAAGACAATGTGATCAGTTAGTCAACTCATTGTCCAGAAGGGTAAACTTAAGCAATCATACATTATAAATATAAGCATTCCTGCTATAGAGTCTGGATGAAATTATTTTCTATGTGTTCCCTAAAATGCTGGCTTCAACAAAATCCTCAGCAAAACACAATACATTTCCCTCCTTGAAGCTCAAGTGGCTTCATCCATAGATCAACTCAGTGAAAGCTCTTGACTGAAGGGTCAAAAGGAAGGGACCCAGCTACACATTCCTCTACAAACCAGACCTAATCCAGATATAGGTTTGCAGAATCTTGAGCATTGTACTGCCTGAGCATTACATTGCTCTCCTCTGTGAGTGTCCATAAGTGTGACAGAGGCTTTTATGCCAGACAATAACCAGCAAAGTAGCCACCCTGAGTTGTTTGTCAAATTTGGAGCCTCACTTTAAGAGCAGCTGAGCAAAGAAGAGGATCACCACCTCCTTTTGAAAGAAGAGAAGCCTCACCAACTAACCATATGTGCCTACATAAAAGATCAGTACGTCCTTCTAGGAAGCTGGGGCAAGAAGTGTGAAAACTTGATCCCAGGTTACAGTGAAAACTGACTCCATGTCCTCCCACTTTCATCTAACATACCTACAAAAATGTAGTCAAGACTGCGAACCTGTGACCACACTCGGCAGTGAATTGTGGAGGGGGAGGGCTCCTCTGACAAGACACAAGAAGCTGCAATGAGATTCATAATCAGTGTCTGATGCTGAATCATGTTTTGCTACCTAAAAGAAGCCTCAGAGAGAATGAAGTGGTTCATCCCTCCCAGGTGCTATTCCAGATGGTTCTTACTCACTCAGAAAATTGGTCAATGGTCCATTCCTTATTTCCTAGGAGATGAAAGGACGTTAAGAAAAACCAGAATGGCAGGGAGAAACTTGCTGAGGTATGTGTTAAGGATTTTAATTCTCAAGCCTCCTTTCTGCTTGGAGCACCCCAGAGAAAGGAAGGGAAAGGTGAGAGCCTATTGTGAGTTGAATACCTGCAAGACTAAGCAAAGCAAACACCTACTGCACTTACTGCAAGTATTCTTGACCTCATCTTTTAACTTATCCATGGCTGTGTTGATCATTTGCAGCCAGGCTTCTGTAGGTTTCATGCAGGGGAAGTGTACAGACAGTTCTTCCCTTTGGACAGGCTGTGCATTGCCTGCTTCCTGCTCCATGGTCTCTGATCCTGCATGTGCTACCTAGAAATGCAGGGGAATTAATGCTCCGTGCTACAACCTTTGACCAACAGGAGACTTGAGGCTGTACAGCAGTGCTTCCTGCTTCCTCTAACGGCAGTGCTGAATTATTTTTCTTGTAACTTTTCAAATAGTCCCAGAATGAGTAGACTCTTGTAAACCAAGGATGGTGGCACACACTTATAATCCCAGCACTTTGGAGGCAGAGGCAGGAGGACTGGTTCAAGTCTGAGTCCAGCCTGAGCTACAAAGTGAGTTCAAGGCCATCCTGAACTGCATACTGAAACCCTGTCTCAAAAAGACAAAAAAAAAAAAAAACCAAAAAACAGACTTTTGTAGAAGTAGGCAACTCAATAGCACGTATCATACTGTTGCTCCCTTCCTCCCTAATTAATACCCCTCTCCCTCACTACTTCTTGGAATCATCTTTCCAAATAAATATCATCTCAGTTTTTGCTTTTAGAAGGATGCTACCTGGGAACTAAGCTTAAACTATTCACTATATCCCATCCTCCAGCTGTTAATCTGCCAACACCCATGGAGGGCTGCCAGCTGTCCTGTTAAGCTTTTAATCCAAGGACAAAATAGACTTCGTATGAAGTGACTCAGGTGGAAGAGGTTTTATTCAATCTTGGGCTCATCCAATGTGTCATGCAGTTAATTTGCTGCTTGTATTTGAGGACAGGAGTC